AATAATTTTTCTTTGCTATACTTTTTTTTTTTTTACTCTAAACTCAATGTTTGTTGTCCAATATTTTCTTCTAGATGTCATTGGCAGGGTTGGTGAGTTTTACCCTCTAAAGTCAATTACTATAGGAGGTTATCCATCAAAGCTGGTTGATTTTATTATTGAAGACTCCAAGTAAGTTCAGAAATCTTAAATTCTAGATTCAATACATTAAAAACAATCAACATTTATTTAACAGTATATTTTACAATATTTTAGGAACAATAGGATTAAATGCACAGTATGGGATTCACATGTGGATGATGTACTGCCCTATTTTACTGACAATGTTGATGGCCCTATAATTATTCTGATGCAACTGTGTAGAGCAAAGCACTTAGACAGTAAGTTTCATCTCCTTATCACAATTATTTTATACACATTTCCTATATGAAAATAAACATCTAACAAATTAATTCTTTATTTCAGCTGAAGTAAGAATATCAAGTTCATATAATGCAACCAAGGTTTGGATAAATCATGATTGTCCCGAGTTTGAAGTATTCAAGGATAGGTAAATTTTACTTTTCCATCAAGGTCTATTTTATTTTGTATCACTATCTAACCATTGACACTTTATCCAGTTTGAATGATCAGCAGACTCCTATTAGGAGTATGACAAATGTTTCAACATTTTCATACCCTAACAGTCAGGAATATTCTAGCAAGAGACCTATGATTGTAAGCATCATAGCTGACATTTATAGGAGGGCTGAGGTAATATTCATTACAGTCTCTTAGTTTTATCAAAATAATTTTTTTAGATTACTATTTGGAACATTTAACTCTCTGTTCTATTTGACTAAAATACAACAGCCAGGCTATTACCATGTTCCTGCAAGAATCAATGGATTGGAGAGTGCCAGAAAATGGTATTACTCTTCTTGCAAGAAAGAAGGATGTTTTAGAAAACTTGAGCAGAAAAAGGCATTACTTTGGTGTGACACCTGCAAAATTAGTTGGCAACTGGGAATTCCTAGGTACAGGTTGGGTGTTAGAGTTGGTGACAAGTCTGGGGATGCACATTTTCTGCTATGGGATAATGAATGTTCTGAGTTATTAGGATTGAGTGCTTATGATCTCAGAAACAAATACTTGGAGGTTTGATTTTTTTTTTCAACTTTTTTTTTTATATATGCTTTAATAGTTAATACAACCTACTATTATGAAAAATTAAACTTTCATTGTAATTTGCAGGATCCTACAAAGATTTCAACAGAATTTGATGCTCTCAGAGGCAAAGCTATGGTTTTTAAAGTATCAGTAAAGAATGACCACATTAAAAACCCTTTCTTACCTATTCCTGTGGTGAACATAACGCATGATGATGAATTGGTGGCAGCACACTGTACTCTTAAAGATGATAAGGATGAGCTCTCAAAACTACTTGCTAAAGAAGAAGAAGAGGATGATCCTAATGTGTGTAACTGACCTTCTAGACATTTCGTTTTATGTTGCTTATTTGATTGATTTTTTTTTAAAACATGCTATTTTTTAACTCAGGATTATGAATCTGGAGATTCATCTGATGAGGCCAGTAGCCCTGCTGTACAGCAAAGTCAGAAACCTATGATGGCAGATAATGATGAACACATATCTCCAGGTCCAACCAAGAGAAATCTGATGGACCAGTTCTCATCAACTCAAGATGCAAAAAAATCAAAACCAATTGATATTAAGCAGGAAAAAAAATGAACTCAATCAGTTTGTTGTTGTAATGCGGTTTGACTAAGGGTTCTGCAACTTTATCTGTTTTGGTGACATTGCGCAGTTTTTATGCTCTTTTGGGACAAGGACTTTCGTTTTTTTTTTGGTTAACATTGCAATGGACATTATTAAACTTTAAGGTGGATGGCCTTTCAACATTCATGTGATATCTTAGTGGTTTTGACTAACTATATTAAACTATGTTTATTTTATTGTCTATTATTCTATGTTTGCTATCTATTTTCTAATGCAGGTTATATAAATGCTCATGACACATTGCACATTGAAGACTGAAGATCACCAAGAAGCTTTAAGGACAATTCTATGTACTACATTTAGAATTGAAAATAGATTTAGAGCATCAATTTGTACTACCTTTCTATGTAATCTACAATGCTATGTAATGTGTAAATAGCAATATATAAGGATTTTTACCTGTAAAAGCTCTATCCTTTGGTTTCACCATCAAATGGTTCATCCCTTTCAAAGTGAAGTCTTGATTTCACAACACTTTATGTGTGTTATATAGTTTTAAGATTGCACTTTCCTACATTCAAACAAATTGAACATTCTTATTATAAATGGATTTTCTTACTTCATTTAAACTATATGCAAAAAAAAAAAAAAAAAAAAAAAAAAAAAAGGATTGGCAGAAAATTACCTATCAATGGGACTTTGTCTTCAGAAAACTATATAACACACATAAAGGTAAATCCTTTGTTTTCACCATCAAATGGTTCATCCCTTTCAAAGTTAAGTCTTGATTTCACAACACTTTATGTGTGTTATATAGTTTTAAGCTTGCACTTTCCTGACATTAAAACAAATAGAACAGTCTTATTATAAATGGATTAAATTACTTCAATTAAACTATATGAAAAATAATAATAATAATGGATGGCATAAAATTACCTATCAATGGGACTTTGTCTTCATATAACAAGAATTGAGCTACATCAACTTCACTGAATCCAATATAAGGAATTTCCAGACTTAAGTCAAAAACATTACCTAAACTAAAATAATGGAGCTACAATTAATGCATTCATGTAAACTTACAATTTAAGATTAATTTAGTGCAAATAAATTCCCTGGGTAGCCTATGTCTTCATTTAGCTATGACTGGAATTAATACAACATTCACAGAAGTTATTTAACTTTTTAAACAGACAGTAAACCAAATAAGCAAGTATTAATTCAGTTTTAGAACATAGATACATATATATAGCCAAATCAGGTTTTAAAAATATAATGATATTGAAAAATTGTGAATGTTGAAAAAATACTGCATTAATGCTAATTATAAATGTAAGAATATTTTAGTGAAAATAAATACCCTTGGCAGCCTATGTCTTCATTTACCTCTGACTGAAATATAATGCAACATTCACAGAGGTTTTTTAACTTTGTAAACAGACACTAAACCAAATAAGCAACTATTAATTCAGTTAACCAAGAACAAGAGATTTTAAACCAAATAAGCAAATAGTGAGTACTGCATTAAAATGGTGGACCATAAAACACTAAATTTAAACTCTTATTGTGTCTATAATGAGTGTAGCAGAATGTATAGGTATTGTTTGATCACGTTGGAATAAATTGTGGCATCAGAATGTACTTTCATCACTTGCCAAATCCTGAAAAATAAAGGTTAGTAGTGAATAAAAAGTTAAGATAAATTCACTAATCGCTAAACAAAGTAATTTATTGCAAAACAGTAATCCTATAAGCAGTAATATTAAACTAACATAAAGCTACATACACTACCATCTACATCATAATTAATCATCTGCAACTTATTTTGCAAACAACTTATATGTATTAGATACATAACTACATTCAAGTATAGCAATCGAGATACATTCAACATGGGCATTAGAAACAAAGTTCATCATATACCATTTTCTGCAAGTAAATGGTTAGTATGAAATAAATATTTAAGTCAAATTAATGGCAATGGTGGAATAGTAAAAGACTTTTCTTATTCCCAATAAGACTAATCATTAATGGGAATCAAATCCTGCTCTATATCAACTCAAAAATCAAGTAATTGCAGTCTAATGTACTGACAGAAAAAAAACTTATTCAAGCATGCTCTGCACATAGCCTACCAGATTACACACAAAGGAATACTACTGCTCACGCAATGAGGAAGATCAGTGCATCCACAGTCATCCGCGGCAAAAGGAAGAACATAACAACTCAACTAGGTAATAAACATTTGGTTACCTATAAGGCTTTATCTGCATTCTTCTCTTCGTAGAAATTCAGAGTAAATCTTCTGGCTGCGACATTTTAGGGAAGACAACAATAAAAATCAGATTACAGTTTGTTTATAACCCGGCGATGAATTTATAGAGTAAAACAAAAACATATGGTTTGTATAAGAACAATTTGTATATATATAATTAAAACTACCTGTTTAAGCAAATCTGTATATCCTTCTTTGAGATCGGCTGTCTTAAAATCCAGATCTAGCAACAGAGCACTGTAGATCCGTAGAAAACTATTAGAGATGATCGAAAATTTATACCATCTCAAAACCAAAACTTTTGGGCCATGAATAGCTCTAGATCTAGGAAGAGAAGCATTACAACTGTTTGGTAGAATAGAACTCAAAGGAAAATAAAACCAGATACTCATTCTACGTTTCCAGATCTGGATTGTGAAAACATTACAACTTAATACTCTATGTAATCTTGATGCGTAGAAATAGAAATTGACAACAGTAGAACAGAGAGGTAAGGTGCAGTCAGTGAAGTAGGATGAAGAAATATAGAAGGATTCAGTGCTTTGTCTAGATAGGTCCATGGTAACACAGATAGCTAGAAGATCGGAAATGTCTAGAATGCTTCTTCTCGACATTTCTTCTTCATTTCTGAGAAAGGAAGTCTTACCTAGCTAAATGGATCATGGGTACATTACACGTGTATGCCGAGGTTGGCATATTGTTTTTTTTTTTTTTTTAAATTTTATATATTGGTACAGAGAAGACTTTGATTAATAAAAATATAGAATAATTATTTATTTAGTATATCACATAGGGTTTACACTTTGATCAATAACTAAATAATTATTTATTTAGTTTTTATAACATTTAACTGCTTACAATGTCATTTTTTGCATAAATCATAATATGTTGAATTGGTACTAAAGAAATTGATGTATTCATCGAATGTTTCTTAACTTAGAGTTCCAATTATAATATATATATATTGATATATTTAGCTAAACTAAGTGTTAATTGCGTATTTGATATGGCAGAAGATGAAGTTGGACAAAATCAATCTACCAATCTAGAAATCCATTTTGATAAAGAGAATCATATCAATTTTAGAGATCATGACACTTCAATACCATTACAAGAATTCAACACCCCGTCAAGCAATCAAATGAATGGTAAATAATTTTTCTTTTCAGTGTGTTTTTGGAGAATGAAATTTAGTTTTAGTGTAAGATTGAAGTATTGCTTTTTCTTGCTATTTTGTTCAGGTAATCAAAACAATCATTTGCCAAGCACTTCAAAGTCCATTTTGACATGCAACAACACTTTAACAACGAATAAGAGGCGTGTACTTAGGCCTCTTCGTAACAATATGGAAACCCCATCTAGCACCGTGACTAATGGTATTGGCGTATTGTTATTAATTTATTATTTCAATTGTTCGTTAAACATTTTATATATTATGTTAAATCTTTTTTACATTTGTAAGACTATATCATTGTTAAATACTCATACAATGTAATCCTTTGTCAAATGTTATATTTTAATAATTTGTAAGTTGTAATTAATCATTTATTTTTAAAATGTAACCATTGGCAGGATGATTAGTATATTATTTTAAAATTTTAGGGATTATATATATCTTGATTGCTTGATTTTTAAGACTATATCATTGTTAAATACCGCTACAATGTAATCATTTGTAAAATTAAATGTTGTTAAAAATTTTAATAGTACTAGCTAATATAAAAATTCTTGAACATGCCACGGTCATTAGGGGAAGTGCCGAATGTTAATCAAAATATTATTTGTCAACCATTCAAAAACAACATAAACGGTACATCTAATAAAATAGAAAAAATTGATTTTTTTTAATGATTTTTTCCATTCATGTCATTCATTTTAGTTTTATAATTTTTTCAATTTACACATTTTAGGTTCATGTGTTGTTAATAAAACCTTAACTCAAGGCAATTTACGGTTTAATCGGTTGTTAATGCTAAATTTGAACACTGTAACTAGAGGATCAACTTCTCTTACATCTTTGCAAAATGGTTAGTATTTTCTTTTAAAATTGTTGTAATTAAATATATATGTTGTTTGATTGCTTGATTGCTTGATTTTAAAGACTAGATCATTATTAAATACCGCTACAATGTAATCATTTGTAAAATGTTATGTTCTTAAAATTTGTAATTAATGTTACAAAGTCCTATTTGCCAATAGTCCCAGGTTATTATACAAATTCTACAACATGCCAACAGATAATAGGGGAAGTGCCGAATGGATACCGTAATATTATTTGTCAAACCGTTAAAGACAACATAAACGGTTAATCTCATACAACTCAAAAATTCGACAGTTTTTAATGATTTCTGAGATTCATTTAATTCATCTTAGTTTTTTAATTTTTTCTATTTCACATTTTTTAGGTTCATGTGTTGTTAATCCAACCTTAACTCAAGGCAATGTACGGTTGAATCGGTTCTTAATGCCTGAGTTTGACAATGTCAATAGAGGATCAAGTTCTGTTACATCTTTGCAGAATGGTTAGTATATTATTTTACAATTTTAGGAATTAAATATATATGTTGTTTGATTGCTTGATTAATTGATTTTTAAGACTATACCATTGTTAAATACCGCTAAAAGGTAATTAATTGTAAAATTTTATGTTTTAAAATTTTATAATTAATCGTTCAAATTCTTATTTTCCAATGGTCCCAAGTTATTATACAAATTCAACAATATGCCAACAGACAATAGGGGAAGTGCCGAATGTTAATCAAAATATTCTTCGTCATCCCTTTCAAGACAATAGAAACGGTAAATCTCATAATACTCAATAATTGGAATTTTTAATCATTTTTACATTCATGTCATTTATCTTCTTTGTTTCCAAATCTCAATTTAAAACATTTTAGGTTCATGTGTTGTGAATCCAACCTTAAATCAAGGCAATGTACGGTTGAATAGGTTGTTAATGTCCGAGTTTGACACGGTCACTAGAGGATCAACTTATGTTACATCTTTGCAGAATGGTTAGTATATTATTTTCAAATTTGTAGAATTCAATATATATGTTGTTTGATTTGTTGATTGTGTATATTCAATTAAGAACATAACATTAATTCACAAAAAATTTTATAGGTACATATTTAGACTTTGGTGATCCAATATATTCATGTGACCATTGTGGTGCGGTGTTTTGGATGGAAGAAATGATCAACCAAATTTTGGGAACTTCAAGACCAAAGTATTCGCTTTGTTGTACTCATGGAAAAATCAAGTTGCCTACTAAACCAACTCTGCCTGCTGCATTGTTTGATTTGTTTTTTAAGAATGACAACAAGAGTGGTCATTTTTTAAAAAATATTAGGTCCTACAACAATATGTTTTGCTTCACTTCAATGGGTGGAAAAATTGATAGGACTTTGAATAATGGTACTGCACCACCTGTTTTCCGCTTACACGGTCAGAATTTCTACCTTTTGGGAAGCCTAATGCCTGAATTTGGCTCTCGACCGAAGTTTGCTCAATTGTACATATATGATACTCAAAACGAAATACTCGCATCGATGCAATTAGGTATGTCAATTCCATTCTATATAGAAATTGCATTGTTCGATTTTTACTATATTATGCTAATTAAATATATTTTGTCATAAATATACAGAGAAGATGATGTTCACAATAAACTACATGCAGAGATAGTACAAGACATACAAGACGCATTAGATCAAAACAATGTCTTAGTAAAAAGTTTTCGCATGGCAAGAACAGAGATTGAAACAAATCCGATGGCAGAGATTAAGATCAAATTAATAGGAAAGAGGAATAAGGATGCGCGAACGTATAATTTACCACAAGTCAGTGAAGTGGCGGCTTTGATAGTGGGAGACTTAGATCCAAATATGGGAGAATGTGATATCTTGGTGGAATCAAGATCTGGTATTTTTAAAAGGATTAGTGAATTAAACCCGGCCTATCTACCACTGCAGTACCCATTGTTATTCCCATTTGGTGAAGACGGATATAGAGAGGATATTCAATTCTCAGGTGTTCAACAACAAGGCCGACCTGGTCGTATTAGGATTAGTCCTAGAGAATACTTCTCCTATTATATTCAGGATAGAAAAAATGAGATGTCAACATTGTTGTTCGCAAGAAGGTTGTTACAACAATTCCTGGTAGATGCATACACTATGATCGAATATGGGCGTTTAGTATATGTTAGGACCCACCAAAGATCATTGAGATGTGAGTCTTATAAATGCTTGACAGATGCTCTGACCCGTGGTGAACTTGATCCATCTGCCCAAGGCCGTCGAATTATTTTGCCTTCAACTTTTACAGGTGGTGCAAGATATATGGTCCAAAATTACCAGGATGCGATGGCAATATGTCGATGGATTGGGTATCCAACTCTCTTTATTACATTCACATGTAACCCAAAATGGCCTGAAATTGTCAGATTTTTGGAAGAGAGAAGGTTAAAGGCAGAAGATCGGCCAGATATAATATGTCGTGTCTTTAAGATGAAGTTAAATGCTCTAATCAAGGAGATTCGTAAAGAAAACATATTTGGTTCTGTTCTAGCAGGTAAAGAATTTATATGTTAAAGTTTAAAAAATTATTTATTTTTTAACAAGTCCTTTGATCTATATTTCAGAATACTGAATTTATTAATGTTTTTTTATTGTAGTGATTTATACCATTGAATTTCAGAAAAGAGGTTTACCGCATGCGCACATATTGTTGTTTCTGGCAAATCACCGTGGGTCTGTGGCTGCAACAGATTTAGACAACTTCATTTCAGCAGATATACCAAGTGAGTTGTGCGACCCAGAGTATCACAAAGCAGTAGAAGAATTTATGATGCACGGTCCGTGTGGTACGTGTAGGAAGAATTCACCATGCATGGTTAATGGTAGATGCTCCAAATATTATCCAAAGAAATTTGTAGAGAAATCAACAATGGATGAAGAGGGTTATCCTGTTTACCGTAGGAGTGACAACGGTAGGACCATAAAGAAAAATGGTATTGATCTAGATAGCAGGTATGTCGTTCCACACAACAGGCATTTATTGGTGAAGTATAGGGCTCATATAAATGTAGAGTGGTGCAATCAATCCAGATCAATTAAGTACTTATTTAAGTATGTGAACAAGGGGAATGATCGGGTTACGACTGAATTCTACAACAGTGTTGCTGATGAAGCTAATGGAAAGGTAATCGATGAGATCAAGATGTATTATGATTGTAGGTATATTTCACCCTGTGAGGCAGCATGGAGGATGTTCGCCTTTGATATACAGATGAGGGATCCGTCTGTAGAGCGCTTGAGCTTTCATCTACCAAATGAGCAATCAATCATATTTAATGATGATGATGTTGTCAATGATGTTGTTAACCGTTCAACTGTGAGACAAAGTATGTTCACGGCATGGTTTGATGCTAACAGCAAATATAGCGAGGCAAGAAACTTGACTTACGCTGAAATGCCAACAAAATTTGTATGGAAAAAAGATAAGAGAGAGTGGCATCCAAGGCAAAGGAAGTTTGCAATTGGTCGTATTTTTTATGTTCCGCCAAATAGCGGAGAAATCTTCTATCTTAGATGTTTACTTAATATTGTGCGTGGACCAAGGTCCTTTGATGAAATTAAATATTTTGAGGGGGTGCAGTATACTTCATTTAGAGATGCCTGTTATGCACATGGTTTAATCGAGGATGATAAAGAGTATGTTGACGCGATTAGTGAAGCAGCGATATGGTCCTCAGCACATTCTTTACGTAAATTGTTTGTAACCTTATTGACATCAAATTCAATGGCGAAACCAGAGAAAGTGTGGGATATTGTTTGGCAATACCTAGCTGATGATGTTGAGTTCAATGCTAAAAGAAATACAAGTAATCCAGGTAAACAATTCTTCTTCAAAACACATACTTAAATGTACTTTTTGCAGTTATATATTCAACTAATTTGTTTATAAATTATGTAGATTTGATGCTCAATGACGAACAGAAGAAAAATGGGGCACTAATGGAAGTGGAAAAGTTGTTGAATGCTTGGAACAAGTCTCTAAGTGATTATCCACCAATGCCGATGCCAGTGGAAAGTCATGAATACTATTTCGGTAATCGGTTGTTGTACGAAGAATTGGCGTACGACAAAGAAGCTTTAAAGCTAGAACATGAATCTCTGTTTTCTAAACTAACTGATGAACAATTACTCATATACAACAAAGCGATTGTGGATGTTGAATCTAATAAAGGTGGTTTGTTCTTTGTTTATGGATATGGTGGAACTGGCAAGACATTTTTATGGAGGACACTGTCGGCTGCTTTAAGGTCAAAGGGACAAGTTGTTTTGAATGTAGCATCAAGCGGTATAGCCTCGCTACTTTTACCGGGTGGAAGGACTGCACACTCAAGATTTTCTATCCCCATTGCAGTGAATGAAGACTCAACTTGCAACATTAGCCAAGGTAGTCCACTTGCTGAATTGATTATAAAAGCTAAGTTAATCATATGGGATGAAGCTCCGATGATGCACAAACATTATTGCGATTCACCAATCCAAAAAGCTTAGAAATGTCTTTTGGTGGAAAAACAGTGGTACTTGGAGGTGATTTTAGACAAATACTACCAGTTATACCAAAATGCAGCAGACAAGAAATAGTACAAGCAAGTATAAACTCATTATACTTGTGGAGTAATTTCGAAGTACTACGCTTAACCAAGAATCTTAGGTTGCGTGGAATTTCAAGTGCAGAAGAAGTTGCTAAGTTAAACAGCTTTGCAAAATGGATTGCTGATCTAGGAGATGGAAATTTAGGAGAAGAGAAAAATGGTGTCTTCAATATAAGGATTCCAGATAATTTTGTTTTAAGAAATGAAGTTGACCCCATAGCAGAAATTGTCCAAAGCACATTTCCTTCATACGGTCATGGTCAATTTGATCATAAATTTTTAGAGTCCCGAGCTATATTAGCTCCAACATTAGATGTTGTGGACAAGGTGAATGAATACATGAACAGTATGAATGAGGCAACTTCCAAGACATATTTGAGCTGTGATTCAGTTTGCAAGTCAGATACAAGTTCTGATATGTTATCGGAGGTTCACACTACAGAGTTCCTTAACAGTTTGAGATGCTCCGGTGTTCCAAACCATTCTTTAACATTAAAGGTTGGATCGCCAATTATGCTGCTCAGAAATATAGACCACTCATTGGGATTGTGCAATGGTACAAGGTTGATCATTACACAATTAGGAAACCATGTCATTGAAGCTCAAATTCTGTGTGGCAACAATGCAGGCACCAGGGTATTAATACCAAGATTGGGATTGACTCCTTCTGACCCAAGACTACCGTTTAAATTTCAGAGGAAGCAATTTCCAATAATGTTGTCATATGCTATGACAATAAACAAGAGTCAAGGACAAACTTTATCTAATGTCGGACTACTATTAAAGAAACCCGTGTTTAACCATGGACAGTTGTATGTAGCAGCATCTCGGGTAAGTAATCCAGATGGGCTGAAAATCTTAATATGTGGAGACTCGAATGTGGGTTTGAACACTACAGAAAATGTAGTGTACAAAGAAATTTTCAATAATTTGTAATTTTATACTGATATTCAATGTCATATCATAATTTTATTATTATTTTGTATATATGTAACAGTTTTTAAAAATTATTAAATGCTGCCAATTAAGAAAAACAGGGCATATAGCCACTATAATAACAAATAAAATTACTTTTAATTTATTAACATAATTGCAATATTGCCAAATATATGTCCGTGCATCGCACGGGTGAAATACTAGTTAAAATCAATAATTAATGAAAGACGACATCGGTCAAAATCGAACAAAATTGGTCAAAATCAGTCAAAAAGGGTCAAAATTGGTCGAAATCGGCCGAGTTTTGGCCGCCTTTAGGCCAAAACTCTAAGGCTCGGTGAGGCGGCTAGGCGGCCGAGTTTTGCAACCTTGAGTGTGAGAAAGCATAACCAAATTCGCAATGATTACACACAATTTTAAGCAATAATGAATTCTAAATGTTGAGTACATTGCAATATAATGTTCCGACATTATAATGAAATTAAACTTGAATTTATCTTTTTTCTGTTGATTAGGGTTATGTTAGCCATTCATTTGTTATTGTTGATTCTCTTGTTCAGTGTTCTATGGGTTTTGATCCCCATTAAGCAAAGAAATAATAGTGGTGGTGACAGTAGAAAGGCATGATTGGCTCTCTAGTATTGTTGATGTGCCAAAATGCTAATCTGAGGCGTTTAATAGCTTTGGTTTTGGATGTTGCAACTTTTTTTTTTTTTTTTTTTTGGTTTTTGCCTAAAACAGATTGTAATTATTCTGAGATGATGGATTTGTGTGTCTAATAAAGCCGCAAGTATGAAGCCATAAGTGGCAGATTCATTACACACCAAGTGCAAAATGGGCTGGAGGTTTGATTCCCACTAAAGACATATGAGGGGTTACGAGGAGATTCAAAGCTCAAAAAATTAATTAGAGGTTATGGAGACATATTGTGCGGCAGAATGTACAGGCAAGAGTGGAAATTGAGGATTGATTTATCGATTTGTGATTTACCTTCTTCAACTCTTTTTGGAAGGAGTTTTGAGGGTTTAAAATTAATTTAGCATAAATTGAGAAACTTAATGTATAAAAAAAATGGTATTTGAAGGAGCATAAGTTACAAAGTAACTAGGAATACGTAATTAGTGGTAACTAATGGTTAGACTATATATATATATAGGATCATATGAGAACATGTGCTCAGGTGAGAACGTGAGAACACATCATGTGTATTCATATGAGAATATTTTTTTTGAGCCGGCATACTCGCCGGAAATGGAGGTGCTCGCCGGGGAAGAAAGGGAAAAAGTAAAATGACCAAAAAAGCCCTCATTATTTAACCTATTAAAAATTTCCGGTGAGATTTGACCGGTAATTTGGCCGGAGTGACCAAAATTGAAAGAAAATTGCATAGTCAAGGTACTCAATTAACATTTTTGAAAGTCAAGTGTTGCAATTAACACAACCCCAATAGTCAGTGGACCAAAATTGAAATTTTCTCTCTCTCTCTCTCTCTCTCTCTCTCTATATATATATATATATATATAGCGGCGCGCGTTTAGGTGCGAACTACCCGCCCAGGAAAGAAATGAGAACGCATGCCATTTGTCCATGTGTCTAGATTTAATGGATGAAAAATACTATTTTTTTTAAAAAATGCGATGACATTCTTGTAAATAATTGAACATCGAAGTGCAAGTAAAATGTATTACAAATGCAAGTAGCAGTTTCATATAGTGCAGTTCAGTGCAAGTAGAATGTATTACAGGTGCAAATAGCAGTTTCATATAGTGCAGTTCAGTACAAGTAAAATGTATTACAGGTGTAAGTAAAATTTACACTGAGCAAGTAGGGGTGTTAGCGAACAGAGCTTTCGGCAAACTACTCGTGTTCGTGTTCGGTAAGCATTCGTTTATGTTCGTTTGTTAAGGTAAACGAACATTAACAAACAAAATTTAGAGCTCGGTTAATAAACGAATAGAGCTTGAACAGTTGCAAGCTTGTTTGCTAAGAGATCGTGAACAAGATCGTTTGTGTTCGTTTACTAATGTTCGTGACCAAGCTCGTTTATGTTCGTTTAATAATGTTCGTGAACAAGCTCGTTTGTGTTCGTTTAATAATCTTCGCGAACATGTTCACAAATATATATATATATATATATATATATATATATATATATATATATATATATATATATATATATATATATATATATATATATATATTATATTAGTTTTGTAGTTGTGTTGTCTGTTTGACTATTGTTCGTGAACGTAGATTATTTATTGTTCACGAACGAATTGTGATCATGAACATGTGAAGATGTTTGTTTATTAAGTGTCCATGAACGTAAATGAATATGTTCGTGAACGTGCTTGTTAATGAACATGTTTGTGAACGTGTTTGTTAACGTTAACGAACACGTTTGCGAACGTGTTCACGAACGTTAACAAACACGTTTGCGAACATGTTCGTTAACGTTAACGAACACGTTCGTGAACGTGTTCGCGAACGTTAACGAACACTAACGAACGCTTAACAAACGAATACGAACAGGATTTTCAAAAACCTTAACAAACGAACACGAACACTCCAAATTCCTTAACAAACGAACACGAACAACCTCCGTTCGTTTATGTTCGGTTCGTTAACAGCCCTATGAGCAAGTGAGCATCAATACTAAGTGCACCTAACGTTATAATTAGGTGCACCTAACATTATAATTAGTTGTACTTAGGAGCACGAATGTTAACAAGGTAAATTATTTGCATTTGTACGTGAAAATATGTACACTTGTAAGTGATTTTACTTGCAAAGGTGCACCAGCTACTGGCACTTATAACACAATTACTTGCACCAAAGTTTAAGTTATTTACAAAAATACCACCTGATGGATAGTATACTAGGCTTGGACCACATGAACCGGCCTAAGAAATTAATTGGATCAAGGAAGCCTAAGAAAGTAATTGGATCAAGGAAGCCCAAGAAAGATACACGAAACTGAGCAACCCAAGAGTTCGTCAAGGATTGGACCTGTTATTCCCAATATAATTAGAATTGGCCTCATTATTTCTAGTATAATAGAATTAGGTCTCATTATGTAACTAAGACTCCTGATATGAGGTAGTCTAGAATTCCTATTCCTTGTAGGGCTCTAGGCCCAAAATATGTATAAATAGACCTCTCACAATAGAGGACAGTGGGCAACCTTTAGTATTCACAGAGCAATATTCATCAATACAAAGTTCCTATATTTTCTCCATATATTTTCCCTATATTTCTCCTATATTTCTCCTATATTCTGGTTATTCGTTGGCCTGCCGTTGACTGTCTAAAAGTCATAAAACCAACATTGACGTCGTCCGTGGGATCGATACAAATGGTCCCGTGATCATTACGTTAGAAAACAAAATTCTCCTAAAATGATTTGGACATGCATCGAGTCCCTGACTCGGATTTGCGTCGAGTCCCCAAATCGAACTTGCATCGAGTCCCCAAAGTTGGATTTGCAGTCAGCCAGAGGCATCAACCACGCATCAAACGAGTGTACATCTATCCAGAATCAATCCAGCTACACGTATACACTGACCGTGAGGTTAAGGCCTTGCATGTGATTTCTTCGTTGCATGCATCCCTCATGTGTGGCAATAATATGGGCAAAAGCATGTAGATCTCAGTTCAAAACAAATATGGAGCATAAATGTATCTAAAAGATATCTTTGGTATTTTATATTATAGAAACAACAATTCGCAAATAAACTCTGAGGGGTAGACACGCATGAAATCAAAGAATAAAAGACAATCTTGGCAGTCGACAACAATATAAAATTGGCAGTAGCAGCAACAGAGTTTCATCTCAACTGCAATTTTGGTTTCCGGGCGGTGAACAAGCTCTAGTCGGCGGCAACAAATTAATCCATGGTGGCAATTTCATCTCAGCAGCAACAATTCTTCATCAGCGCAGAGTTTACAACCGGTGCGATTTTCTTCGTCCGGCAAGCAGAATTACTGGACAGCAGACGTGATTTCGATTTTGAAGCGGTGAAAAGGCTCTTGTCATCGTCAACAAGTTAACCGTTGATGGCAGCAGATTAGTCCACGGCAACAGCACATGAACTGCCAGCAATCTGTGGGGAGTGTCCAGCGAGAAGAAGATGGAGACATTTCATACGCGCATGAGTTTTATCAAAGGCAAAGAAAATTGAGATTGGAAATTAATAATCCCATCCTATGACAGCTCTTATCCTCCTTGCGCTAGTACGTTCACACAAATTATGTGAAAAGAAGAAAAATCTTACAAAATCGAAAGGGTGACCAGACGACAGACTGCTTCTCAAGGTGGCCAACCATCGCGAAGTAGAGACGACAGCCGTGGGCTGGCTGGACATGGAAAATGTGATATCAAGTATCAACAACGGTAAAAAATCATTAATTACATGGAAGCGATAGTCAGTAGGAATCAATTATTGAAATATCAATGCTGGTCATACCACGACAAAGGAAGGGACTGAACCACCGACAAAATAAAAGATTAGTATTTCTGTTATTATTATTATTAATTTATTTTTAATGTTATTTTTATCAACTATTTAATGTCTCCCACTTTCAACTTATTCAATTGAAACTAATATTGAAACAAAGATGATTTTCGGAAGAAGGAAGCTGACGATATCAGGTGAAGGAAAGTCTAATAGATAACAGGATGTCATGGGTGAGGGGTCTAGTGTAGAGTCTAGGAATTATGGGAGAGAAGTCTAGTCTGTATAAAGTCTAGGGCAGAGTCTATGAGTCATCAGGGTATAAACAATAATCGACAGGGAGTGGTCAAAAGGAGTATGTGATATCATAAATCTGAGAATAGGAGACGTTCTCAAAAAATATTTGGGGGATGAGCATACTGGCTGAGAACGGGAGACGTTCTCAAAAATATTTGGCGGATGGGCATATTGGCAGAAAACGGACAACGTTCTCAAAAGCCAATGGCTGAGTGGCATATTGACAGACAACGGACGACGTTCCCAAAATTCATTCAGCGGTTGGGCATACTAGCAGAGAACGGGAGACGTTCTCAAAGCCATTGGCGGAGTGACATACTGACAGAGAACGAGCGACATTCTCAAAAATCATTCGGCGGTTGGGCAGACTGGCAGAGAACGAGAGACGTTCTCAAAAGCCATTGGCGGAGTGGCATATTGACAGAGAACGAGCGACGTTCTAAAAAATCATTCGGCGGTTGGACATACTGGCAGAGAACAAGAGACGTTCTCAAAAGCCATTGGCGGAGTGACATACTGACAAAGAACGGGAGACGTTCTCAAAAAATCATTCGGCGGTTTGGCATACTGACAGAGAACGGGCGACGTTCTTAAAAAAAATAAAATCATTCGGTGGTTGGGCATTACTAGCAGAATGAGCGACGTTCTCAAAAATCATGGTGGAGATGTGTACTGGATGAATGGGACGAACTTGAGAACTGGACAAGTTGTCAAAAATATTTGGCAGATCGACATGCTAGACATGTGGGATTAAATTGAGAACTGGATACGTTCTCAGGAATCACTAAAGCATTATCAAACGCGCAACCAAAATGAAGGCACAAAACGAAAAAAAAAAAAGAGCAAAAAAGGAAAAAGAAAGCAAAATAAGCAAAATAGAAGTTGCTATTACAACACCTAGTTGTACAAAAAAAAAAACAAAAAAAAAAACAAATGAATAAAAACAAAAATAAATAAATAAATAAATAACTTTTTAAAGATCACAAACCTCAGCCGTTTTGTGAATTTACATGTTAACTTAAGTTCTTGAGACAACAACTTGATGAAATCTCAAGAAAGCGGAGAACTGGTTGGATAATATTTTTCATATACTTTCCTCAGACATCAACTTCGCGAAATCTCAAGAAAGTAGGGGACAAGATGATGGATAGTATACTAGGCCTGTGACACATGAACCCGCCTAAGAAAGTAATTGGATCAAGGAAGCCCAAGAAAGATACAAGACACGGAGCAACCTAAGAGTTCGTCAAGGATTGGGCCTGTTATTCCCAATATAATTAGAATTGGCCTCATTATTTCTAGTACAATAGAATTAGGTCTCATTATGTAAATAAGACTACCAATATGAAGCAGTCTAGAATTCATATTCTTTCAAGGGCTGCAGGCCCAAAATATGTATAAATAGACCTTCACATAGAGGAGAGTAGGCAACCTTCAGTATTCACATAACAATATTCATCAATATAAATTTCTTATATTTTCTCCATATATTTTCCCTATATTTCTCCTATATTCTGGTTATTCTAATGATAGTGTTGGCCTGCCGTTGACGGCCCAAAGGTCATAAAACGGCAAATTATATTATGCACCGCGGTGCATAATCGATTATGCACCGCGCGTCTTTTTTTTTTTTTTTAAAATGAAAATTAACAGTGTTTATTTCCGTCGTTTCGCACTCTTTTACAAAAAGTAACTCTGTTATTCAGTGTCATTTTGTATACACCGCAGTTTCAGTTGAACACAACTACAATTTCATTTCGATATAACTATAGTTTCATTCGATATTTATAGACTCAAATATGTGAAAATGTTATTTAATTTTATTTTATATACACTATAGTTTTATTAAAGCACAACTACATGATCATTTTGATGTAATTACAGATTCATTGTACAATATACACTCAAATATGTGAAATGTTATTCAGTTTCAGTTTATATACACTGCAGTTTCATTTCACTATAACTACAGTATCATTTTGATATAACTGCAGTGTCGATTTGGATATACTGTAGTGTCAGTTGGTGTTTAATACACCAAACAAACGGACTCCGTTAACTCTAACGGCGGGCCGTTTCTTTACTTAAAGAAACGGCGCCGTATATGGGCCGCGGTGCATAATCGATTATGCACCGCGGTCTATAATATAACAACTGTCATAAAACAAACACCACCGCATCTTGTTTTTAAAATTACATCTATTTTGTTGATATGGACACATGAACGACTGTGAGTGGCTCTTATTTTTCTCCTGGGCGTCCGTTCGCATTAGAGCATGCCCATATATAAATATATATATATATATATATATATATATATATATATATATATATATATATATATATATGTTTAGGATATGGTGTACATGCCACTTGCACTTGAAGGCTCAAAACCATGCACTTGAAGGCAAAAAAATTGCATTTGAAGGTAAATAGATATGCAATTGATGCAATTTATGGTACCAAAAAGGGAGGTTATTCAACTTAAGTGTTATTAAACCAATTACCCATACAAATTGTTTGTAAATCTCACAAATTTCATTAGAAATTTAGTTATATAAAAAAATACTGCCCAGAAGTTTTGCACTTGATGGCCCAAAAGAACATGCACTTGAAGGCATAAAACTGTGCACTTAAAGATAAAAAATCTGCACCGAAGGAAAAAAAGGGTTCACTTGAATGCTAAGTTTTTTGTTTTTTGTTTTTTTTTTTGTTTTTTAAAATTTTTACACAATAGTAAGACACACATACACTTGTAGGAATTAAATTGAGCACTTGAAAGCATAAAGAGGATACTAGAAGGCATGAGAGAGAGAGAGAAAAAAAAAGGACACTAAAAGAGAAAATTTGAAGGAAATTAATTATGCACTCTTCGAAATGAAAACATGCATTTGAAGACTATAAACGTGCACTTGAAGGTCAAAAAATTTGCACTCAAAGGCACAAAGATGTGCACTTAAAAGAGAAACTAAGTACTGAAATAAAAATGATGCACTTGAAGAAGGAAAAATGTGCACTCGAAGAAGGAAAAAAGTGCACTCGAAGAAGGAAAAATGTACACTCGAAGCATGACAAATGTACAATCAAAGAAGACAAATGTGCACTCGGATACAAAAGATAAGCTGATTTATTTACTCAAAATTATAAATATGCCACCACATATTTTTTAACTAAAATTCATTTTGCACTGTTGATTTAGATTGCATCTAAGGGTAGTTGGAAACTATCTGCATTTTTTACCTGTTGACATTTTTTATTTGATCCGAATTATATATATATATATATATATATATATATATATATATATATATATATATATATATATATATATATATATATATATGACATTTTTCAAGTTCGGTTTGATTTTGATTTTTTCAATTTTGAAATTTGAATGGTTAGATCTACTAGATCAATAGTTTGTGAATTTGTCTACAGGTCTTCACTTGGAGTATGGTTCTCATGGGACTTTTACGTGAACCTTGAACTAGGGTCTAGGCATTCAGGTCAAAGACTGAACTGAGAATAAAATTAAATTTGTTGACAAAAACGGAAGGTTTTGAAACATGGACTAGAATGAGAAAAGAGTGTTTGGGACATGCGTTTGTAATTTTTTTTTCTCTAATATTGACCACAGACGCAAGTGGGACTTGCGTCGGATGTATTATACATGAGATGCAAGTCCCACTTGCGTCTCATGGCCATAGGTGCTTCCCACAAATGAAAGTGTCTTCCGCCTACTCCTTCGCCACTAAGTTACTTCTCCTCCTCACTCTATTTCCCCTCTCTCTTGCGCTCTTTGCCTTTGTCCTCCAATAGTGCGACGGGAGAGTCGATGATCCAATCTTGCAGTGGTTCCCCGAGGAGTTGCGCAAGTTTCCAGGAATGGACAGGTCGTCTTTGGCCACTCCTTGGATTGCTCCCTGCTTGGCCGTCCGAATTTGGCGACTTTTCCTTACTGCAGGGACTGGAAGTTCAATTTTGAATAAGATCTCAAGCCAAAAGTATGATCTTTTATGCTTTTTTGTTTTCGTTGTCATTTTCATGGCGGCCGACGAGCAGAGACCCAAGTCCTACTTGCGTCTCTGCTCGCAAGTATAATACAACAGACACAAGCCCTACTTGCGTCTGTGGTCAATTTTTGAGAAAAAAATTACAAATGCATGTGGGCATGCATTTTTTACATGAAACACGTGTCAAACGCTCTTCTCCCATTCTAATCAAATTTCAAAACCTTTCCATTTTTGTAATCAAATTTAATTTTATTTCCATTTCAGTCTTTCAACCTAAGCATTGAGTAGGCAAGTCGAATTGGGAAATTAATTAGGCCTATAAGCTAAATCCTTGATTGTGGGACCAATAGCCCAAAGGTAGGCTTATAGACAACATTATCCTAATCTCTAAGAGCAACCCCAATAAGGACATCCTTAATAGTAGGGATTTTGGTGTGAGTTTGAAGGAGTTTTTGTAAGTGTGATTAGGAAAGAAAAAATGGTAGAAAAGTGAAAAAAAAAAAAAAAACAAATGCTGATTTTTAAAAAAATAAAAAAATTAAGGAGTGTCATTAACGGGCGCCAATTGTGACCTTCACACGAACAGAGACGGAAGCCATTAAAATGAGTGGGTCCCACTTTTTTTGCAAAATCTCCATATTTGCAGGAAGCACTCTAGGCTTCTTTCTCCACATTATTACCTTTCCATGTTGGCAACTTTTTATTAAAACCTCTGCATAGTCCCCTTATTGGGGATCCTAAGGGGTTTGTGAACAGTTTTTAATGAAAAAATGGCAAGGTAGAAGAGAGAGGAGAGAAGAGAGAGAGGGGAGAGTGCCTCCTGCAAGAATGGGGATTTTCTCATAAATGTGGGTCCTGTTTATTTATTTATTTGCGTAGAAACTGCGCGTTACGCCGAAACAGCACACCCAGCTGGACGCGTTAAGCTTTATTATTATTATTTTTTGGATTTTGAATTTTATTTTTTTCTTTCTTTTTTTCTTTTTCCCTTCTCTCCCATTTTCTCTTTCCTAATTACACATGTAAAACCGCCTCAAAATCTTCACACCGTTAATATCTAATTGAGATTTGATTAACCCCCACCAGTAATACCACCAAACTAACTTTTTTTTTTTTTAAATAAAAACAAAAACTTAGGTGATCTCAATTTCGCCAAACTAATTCTAAATTTATAGGACTTTGTCCCTACAGTCATTACGGAGGTAAATTGTGAATCGCGCAATCAACCCACCCGTCAAATCTTAGTATTCATCTACACATAAGGGATCCAATTTAAACTTTCCAGCATCCTTGGACCTTAACTTTTATGCTGCCGTCTTCATTTATGACCTTTAAATAAGGCGACTAACCAACTATAATAAACCCGATGGCAACTTCAATTTTTCTTAAAATGGGAGATCAATCTCAATCCTCTTAGATGTTGTAGTTCCCAACTCCACCCACTTTTTCTAAAGTTAATAGATTAATTCCCATATAATACTATTACAGATAATAAAGCCATAGTGACTGATTAAGTGATGTTGTTTTCAGGTACTTTTCTTTTGACATGCATGCTTTTGTATCACATTAAAAAAAAAAAAAAAAAAAAAAAAAAAGCAAATGTAAGCTACCTTTTTTTGGTTGAAAAATAGGCGGATGTGTTTATTTTTTTTTTTTAAGTACTATCGACTCTAAAATTTATGATTTCATGTCATTAGACTACAAAATTATTGTCAGGAATGTATTTATTTAGAGGATAATTAATATGGAATTAAGTGGTCCAAGTGATTTAATTATTGAGTTAATTAAGTTAACTAAGTTGCTTAGAAATAATATATTTATTGGGTTAATTAATTTGGCCCAGTGGAAATTGATTTGCCAATATCCGTTGAAGATACCTAATCAGGCTGAAGGAGTGAAGGGGCAATTACGGCAAATTATATAATTGGCGAGAGTCTACCTTGCATTGTAGATTCTAGTTCAAAATTAACCTTCAAATTCTGTATATATAGTTGACACATTTTGTACTTGCAGTTGATAGTTTCTGTATCTGTAACTATAATATTATGTGTCAGCAATTATCTAAAAATAACCTTCAAATTATGTATCTATAATTGACACATTGTGTACCTACAGTTGATAGTTTATGTACATGTAGCTATCATATTATGAGTCAACAACTATTAAGTTATTTGTCTACATGTACAAAAATTGTTAACTATAGGTACAAAATGTGTTAACTGAAAGTACATAATTTTTGTATCATAGTTCACAATGCAATATGAATCATGGTCCATAGTATAACAATTGAATTAAAATGTGATTAATCCTAACCATTAACACCAACAAACTTCAATTTTTCTTTCAATGGGAGCTCAAACTCAATCCTCTTAAATGTTGTAGTTCCCCACCCCACCCACTTTTTCTAAAGTTATATAGATCAGAAGCCTAATCAATTCAATTCATCCATTTCTAATAACTAGTAATTTACCTGCGCGATGCACGGGAAAAAATTATGTTATTATAAATATAAATAAAAAAATAGAAAAACTAAAATATTTTAAATTATTTAATATAATAATATTTTTAAGCTTCCATTGGTCAAGTATTTATTATTTTTATAGAATACAAAATTACAATTAAAATTAAAATTAATATTAAAATTATAATTTTGTATGGTTAATATAATCTCTAATTATGTGCATATTCAAATAAACTTATAGAGGGAAGTTACATAATTACATTAATTTATTCTTAATCGTATTTCATCTATATTATAATTTTCATAATACGAATAATAACTAAGATAGTTACATTTGGAAAGCAAATTTTAAATTTTGTATGTGTAAATTTAAACTCTAATTGAACACATTTTTTATATGATTATATAATATATAGCTATTTTATTTTTCAAAAGTATATTTTTTATATAATATATAGCTATTTTATTTTTTAAATGTTATTATTTTTTTTTTTAATAAAGGATGTTGTGGCATTAATTGTAACATTAATTATTTTCCAAATCATATAGCTTTATTATATAAATGATACTATTACAGATAATGAAGCCATATATACTATATAGTGATTGAACAGGTGATGTTATTTTCAGGTACTTGTCTTTTGACACGCACTCATGCTTTTGTATCACATTTTTTTTTTTTTTTTTTAAAAGCAATGAAATCTACATTTTTTGGTGGGAGGTTCCAATCACTTTGACTGATGATGGGTAATACCTACGAGCATTTATTATTATTTTTTTTTTATAGATCTCTAAAGTGGACAAAAAGTTGATTAAAATTTTAATTTTTATAGCAAACCTTAACAAGGCGTTTGGTTCGAGTCATCTTAGATTACCTAAGTAATCTGAGTCTGGTAATGTTATATTACCTTGTTTGGCTCAAGTTATGGGATTACCAAGTAATGTTATATTACCTGAAAGCTGATGTGGCGGTAATGTTTTAAGGTAATATGATTACCTCCATTTTTTTTTAGGTAATCTTAAATTACCTTGAATTATTCCAACTTTGTCACTGTTAACTAATTCTTATATAATAATAATAATAATAATAATAATAATAATAATAATAATAATGATGATGATGATGATGATGATGAAATTAATATATATTTATATAATGAAATATACATATGTGTATATTTAGTTTTTTTTTTTTAATATTTAAGCTTTGATATATATTCATAGATATAAATAAATACATAGACATTATATATATATATATATATATATATATATATATATATATATATATATATATATATATATATATATATATATATATATATTGCCGATGACATTATTGTAAAATGATCCATATAATCTAAAATATAACTGTATACTCCCGATTTTTTAACATTTTTAAAACTTAATTTCAAAGGTAAACATCTAATCATCAAGATAAACAACAGCGAAAACTTAATTAAAATCGGAGAGATGTTATGCCACACCTATATCAAACATAGGTGCACATGCGGAAAACTATCAAGTCAACGAACAGTAAACGTCTAGGTACACAGGCCACTAGTCTAGGCACACTGTAACAGCCCAAAATTTCATTTTATAAATCCGGTATTAAGAAGTTCCAAAATAGTCATTTTTACTCCATTAAAATTTTTTGCGATCAATTGGTGTTTGAATAAAATATTTTCGTCACATTTTAAATTAATTCATCACCAAAAATGGATTCTATTCGAAAATTCCTAAGTTTTCGGGTACTTCGCGTACCAAGATTTAAATCGAGAAATTTATCTGAGTGAGACCGGGAGAATTCAAAAAGATTTTAAACAAGTGTTCATCTAAATAGCTTTTTGAGAAAATTCATTTTCAACCCCAAAGTATTTAAAATAACATTTTTAGCCCTTGGTCCATGGAGCATGGTGGACCACTAGACATCCAAAATCTTTGCCGATTCATTGCTAGCCAAAGTTTTTACACTTTTGCCATCAACAAATCATAAGGGAATTCCCTAGGGTTTTGTACCTTATAAAAACCACATTATCTCTCCATTTTTTTCCTGATCTCATTTCCCTTACCTCTCCAAGCCAAGTCTGATGGAAGAAAATATTCACAGTAAGCTATTCTCCATCCATCACTCCTTCACTTTGCTTCTTGAGTTTTTCTCCTTTAGCTTTCCAATCTCCTTTAGGTTTCTTTGAGGTGCTTAGGTGGTGAATGGAGTGGTGTATGAGTAGGGTGGGGGCTGAGATCCACACAAGGAAGAAGAACAAGAGAAGAAGTCTACAAGAGGTATAACCCCATGGATTCCTTCTTGAAATTTGGCTCTGTGAAGCCTTAATATTTAGTAGAAATGAGTAGAAACTATGAGATTTTGTTGTGTTTATGCTTAAAAGTGATCTAGTATTTGTTTGTGAGTTGTTGAGATTGTTTTGAACTTGTTTGAATTGAGTTTTGCAGATGAAATTGACATCTGGTGCACACACAAGGTGCACCAGATTCAGACCAGCGGCCCTAGCCGCGGCCCATCAGGAGGGCCGATGGCTAGGACCGTAGCTACACGGGACTAGGGCACGGCCCTAGAGGAGGGCCGCTGCCTAGTTCCATTGGAGTAACGGGGCTCATGGGGCGGC